CAGTTTTGTTTTAATCTATTAACATTATAATCTGTGTACTTATGTTTGGTTTACTGGTACCGGTTACAAATATGAAAAAAATCGGCACAAGAACCATGTGGTATTTTTTGTGTTATCCCAGGCATGGATGGATTTGTTTTTAAACAAGTTTGTGGAATGGTGAGAGATGTAATGTATTAATAAAAGGTAAATTTTGAATAATTTTTTTCTCTTTCTTGTCCACAGAAACGTTTTGTGAAAGGACTTCGGCAGTATGGGAAGAACTTTTTTAGGATTAGGAAAGAATTGTTGTCACACAAAGAAACGGTAATTAATCTACATATTGTTGTTTGTTTGTTTATCATCTCCAATAATGCCTGGTCTTGCAGACACGTTCTTGGTGTATAAATGACCATCAATGTAAAAGAACTTTTTCAAAAGATGGGCACAGACCATCTATTATTTTCTGATAAAAAAAGTGCATAATACTATGACAGTTTGGCTGTATGAAATTGAGAAGCGAGACTTTGAAAAATTTGAAGGCAATTTTTATTCACATTTTTCCAAAGCCACTGACATTTTTTCTTTTTTATTACAACACAAATTCTTCGGATTACTGTTCATTTCAAACTAATGGTAGAATTGATTGCAATTTAGCCATTATTCTGACCATACGCCACTCTGTGGCACCACAAATATTTTACAACAGTACCAAATTCTGACAGGAACACTTGTGACATTGTGTTGTTTAAAGACAGAATGCAAATAATATATATGTTTGAAAAATATACTCACTGACTTGTGGTGAACATAGTAACAAAATAATTTATTTTTGCCGTTGAAGTGGAAACATTTATTATTTATTCGTGCATGTTTGTCGTCTGTTCGATGATTGTGTCTATTGCACCGTATATATATTTATATACAGAGTTGTATACCGATCAATAAAACTAGCGTTCTCGAACATGCCGTCACAGTGATATTAACTCAATGTAAGGAAGTTTTGGGTTATTGCCAAAAACTTTTACAAACCAATGTATGTTGTGTTCCTCTGAGGGTTTTTTTATTGATAGATCATCTCTGTTTTTCTTAATTCATCAAGTTCGTGAGAACTAGTACCATGTTGATCTGTTGATGTCACATTTCTCGTGGGAATCTCTTGTCAACTGAAAGTCTGTTATGGCAAATAACAAATATTTAAATCAATATTTGTCTTGCAATTGATTTTTTTTTTGTCTCGTCAGTTTTTTTTCTGTTGGGAATTTAGTTTTGAAATGTTTTTAATGGTGATGATGTGTGGTTATCGTATTTCATTTGTTTTGTCGTTGTAAAACAATCGGTTTATAGTATATGTAGATATGTTTCAAACCATGGGGGATGCCAACAGCTGAAGATAACATGTTTTGTGATCGCACCACAACTTATGCATTCACTCAGGAGTTCACTGACTTCTATGAAAGTGATTTTATCTTGGCAGTGTGGATGCAGTCCATTGCTTCCAATTTATTTCATTGGCAAATTTCGCAAATTTAAAGATGTTTTTGAGATTCTCTGAAGAATTGGAGGAAAGTAAACTTAAACATACAAACAAGAAAATACCAGTAGACATAATATATTTTTGTATAATTTTTCAAAAAACTTTCTGGAGATATAAATCTTTATAACATCGGAATTATAAAATGAATACTAAGGAATTTTCTGTTGTTGCTCATTTCTGCTTAGCAAAATTTTGTAAAATTATAAAGGTACTTGTTTTTACGCAGTTAAGTGTCCAGAGGCTATAACTGTTTGACATCAACTGTGTTGTGGCCAAGCATAGGTAATATACATACATGTCCCATAAGTACCTCCTGCAGGATTTAACCTTCTCACTACCAGACTTTCTTTCCCAAATTTTTCTTTTAGTATTTCTGGAAATGAACCCTAATTTTGGAGCCAACAGACAAAATTTGAGTCGATTTTAAATTTTCACTCAAAAAATTTTGCTATATTTGTCCCAAACTTCTGAAGGAAAGTGCAGACTATTTTGTGAATTTGTGATGAAAAGAGGGAACTGGTTGTAAAACGGTTAAAAAATACAGCATTTTTTTTTTAGTGCAGGACATTTTCCCAGATTTTGATTTACTGTCCTTACGAAACCCCATCAACAAAAAGTCGGTATTATTTCACTGTTTATCGTCGCTCATCTCACTGACTTTACACCTATCTGACCCCAATGTCATGTTTACTGTGTATATTCTTGTCAGACCTATTTGTTATTGTTACTTTACGATCCTTAAAATTCATTTAAATTGGTGTTCTTTATTGACTACACTATATCTGTCGTTAAATGGATGACCGGTTGTCGTAGTTACCTGGGTCTAGTATGTTTATTGCTGCGGGGAGAATAAAGGGTCTCTCATTGTTCAGGGTAAATTTGGCGGTACACTCTTATACGCTTACTGCTCGCCGTCAAAGCTTATTATTCCCTCTCTCACTTGCATGTGATTTTTGGGGTCAAGTTTCGTGTGCTTATTGGAGTTGCTGTGTTTCTAACAACTTTAAAATTGGATTGATTTTGATTAATACGATAAAATCGTATTGGGTAAAAAATAGCTTAGGAATTAAATAAATCATCATCACTTAGTATCACTGTTATACACTGAGTTTAGTTTTTCAACAAACACAAGTAAAAAAAAATATTTTTAGATTTACAGGGCTTTGTTACTATAGCAACCATGCATATCGTTACATGCTTTGCGGCATCTGCAGACGCGCTTTGCTTTGATTTGCCTCTCTACAGTTTTTTAGTCGTGACATAATGCAATAACTTAGAACACTGCATATTACCATTACAATACTGATCCTGCGAGGGTATTCAGGCATCCAATTACGACTGATAATCGCCCCCGGCTGCTATAGAGCCGCTAGAAAAGGAAAATAGCTGGGTTTTCACCATTATTGTTGTGGTATTCAGTCTTTAGAAGAAAAAAAAAGCGAAAATAACCAGTGTTTATTTAGATCTCCTAGTAAGATGCTGAAGGTTTTACTGAAGCTACGTCTTTAAGGTGAATTTAAGGGTAAAGTTTAGTTGAAATTTATTTTGCGAGAAAAAGGTAGGTCAAACTTTTTGATCCTAGAAGTAATTTCGCGAAGCAGCGTACCTTTGAAGAGCTGTGCAATGTGCAGAGAAAACAAATTGATGATGCATTCTTGAATATTACGATGGTCTTGGATTGCGAACTTAATGATAACACAATCTTGAATAAGTTTTACAACTTTAGTCTTGTGGTGATTGAACTAACGAGACGAAAGCCACATATATTTATGCTTGTTAAACCTGCAATTCAAACCAAGACATGTCGGCAAAGCTATCTCCATTGTTTGACAACAATTACTTGCGGTAATCTGCTCATGTTGGTGTTGGTATTTTTTTATAGCGACTGGTCGAGACCCCGCTACTTAAAATCACCTCAAACACGGTTCCTATGGTAATCTAGTCATTATCTCTTTTGTTTTTGAGGTAGCAGCTGATGTAGATTAATATGAATAATGTATTTATATAAGGTCACTGGCTAAAAGTTTGTAAGGGGCTGATCAATAATGAGATGGTAGAAAAACTCAAAATATTTGTTTTACTTCACTTGATTGTGGGCTAGATTTTATTTTCCTGAGAATGTTAAATAGATTAGGTTTTCTAAGTACACATTAATAAGTAGGATTTTTTTCAAACTTCTACGAGTATCATTTGAGTTTTTAATAGTCTACTAAAGATATTGCCATAGCAACATGTGAATATTGGAGGCTTGAATATTGGCTGTGTTTATTTCTTGTCGTTATTTGTTTAGGAGATTCATTAAATTTATACAAAGAATCTTTGAGCAATGGAAAATTGAAGTTCCAGCTAAATCCTAAAATGAATTTTTGTAAAATTACCTAATGATATCCAGTATCATAGTTGCATGGTCAATTTTAATTATTACACGCAAGATTTCAATATTATTGTTTCTTTTGGTGCTTGTTATTGTCAATATTTCCCGTAGTTTTGAAATATTAGGCCTTGTTTGGGCCACTTTCTCAGTTTGTTTTTGTTCCACCTATTTGGGTATTTCTCCCTATACAAAGGTTTTCTGTTTACCTTCCGTAAATGCAGCCATCAATGGATGCTTGCGACCACCGAATAAAATGGAGCGCTAACAATGACTGGTGTTGACGGAGTATTGAAATAGTGGAGTGTATCCCTACTTAAACTCAAACCAATACCAATCACACTAGGGGGTATCCTGTTCACATCAGGTTTCCACCCCAGACGTGGCTCCTTGTTTGTCTATACAGCTGGGTAATGCTTGAGTGACAAACACTACGTTTTTACAAAGGAGTTCTGATTTCTGGTGAGTAGTCGTCTCAGTAACTCTGTTCATTGCCTGAAAGTTTTACTCAAAAGTTTTCAAACTTCAAATAACTGAAACTAGGAAACAGCTGCATGCAGAAAAAAAAATTAGAGGTAGGGCATTTGTTTTTGGGAGTTACAAAACTGACATGAACATAGTGAATATTTGAGCGGGGAATTTTTAGCCCCCTTCCTACAATTATTTGTTTTATTCTGTATTTATTTTCAATTTCAGTATTTTGATGTTTTGATCCTATATGTTCACTGGATTCTAAATTCACAAATTTGCCAGTAAAATAATGAGTTCTATTTTTATTTTACATATTCGTGTGCATTTAATTTAGCGTAGATTACTTATTAGCGAAATTAAACGCAGCGAATAATTAATGCATTTAAAGTATTAGAAAACATCAACTATTTCCACTGGAGTTATGTAACAACAAACATTACACCGTAATAGTTGGTAATCACTATATGCAAGACATGTGAGGTCATGTAAGGTCATAACTACTGTGACCCGAGGTCATCGTATCACTTATAAGGTTGAACGTTCATCATATGCAGTTAAATTTATTGCTGGTTGTCTCTGTAAGAATCATTAATGACTTGACAATTTGTAGATGTTTGTGTACGCGGCAACAAAAAAACAAAACAAGTTTCTAGATTCAGCCAAACTTGTTTAAGTGGTTAAATTTAAAAAAAAAAATTTGTATCATGTTTCGAAAAGGTATAAATAAATAAACAAATAAACAAAATTTGATTGTTTTTGGATCGCAACTAAGATTGCAAGTATCAGAATTGATTATTTGTTGAATTTCTGTATCTTCCCGTTCACCCCTTTTTTCAAGATCTGAAAAGCAATAATAAACTATGTACTGGCAATCAAATTAATTTACTTGAAGTAGAATGCTACTCAATAATAAAAATAATGTAATTTTCTTAAAATTATTTTTTCCAT